GCATTGCCAAGTCTTCTGTTGCTAAATTAATGCATGTTTTGATGAGGAGAACTTTCACACTTCATGCAGGACACTGAACTTGGAAATCACTCCTAAAACCAGTGATTTTAGGATACATAGTGACATTCTTCCCTTGCTCAGGACAGATCCAAAGGCAAGCCCCAGATGTGGATCCCAGCAGTTCTTTACTTGTTAAGCCCTCCCACTCTGCCCCTTCCCTGCCTTGCAGCAGCTCTGTAAAACACCCACCCATCACCTGTGGGATTCCAAAGAGCCACAGGTAAAGGATGAGCAGGGAATTCCTGAAGTATGCCAGGATCCCAGGACGTCCACACCACATCTTACAATTCTTTATTTGTTCATAGGCCACTGTTTTTATTTTCTGAGGGACGGGCAAACTTGCAGATTCAAAATATAAAGATCTGCCAGATCTGCCAAATCAGGAACTGTTTCTTCTTTGTATTTTACTATTTGAATTGTTCAGCCTAGCTTCTGAGCTTTTCTCCACAAGTAGCAACACCAGTAGCTCGTCTGTGGGTTTGCTTATGTAAAATACATGGAAATGCTGACAAATTCATTGATTCCAGAAGCTGGAGATTTAAGAAAAACACCCGGTATTGCGAGACTCTCAACAGTCATAAGACTTTGATGTTTTGAATGATGGAGTTTCCACCACTTCCACTGGAGACTAGTCCAAACCAGGTCCCTGTATACTCATGTTGCTGTTACTCAGCAGTTTCTGTATTTTCACTACAAAACCACTTCTTTCATATCATTCTTGACATCCCATACAGAGGAAATCCAGAGAATGGAGGTTTTTCAATTCTACATAACACTTAGGAATATGAGGTTAATACATTCATGTGGTCCACTTAAGGTTATCATGATTGTCTTCAGGAAATGAAAGGGGCCAGAGCTTTTGCACATTTTTGAGCATATATAAAAATAATTATCAAAAAAAAAATCTCTCCAATTTTCTTGTTTAACAAAGAAGATATTGTTTGGAAGATAGAAAATAAATTAATTTTCTACTATGACCTCATTAAGATTGGATTTAAGTTCTAACCCAAACGAATTTTAGAACAACATTAGTCTCCTGCCCTTAAATCTCCATCTATTGAAACTGGTCTATTTATTAATTTCCCTGCTGGAGAGCATATTTTGACTGGTCTGTAAGCTGAGCAGACAGTCTCTCCCCAAAAGCTCACACATGAAGGCCATTTCCTTATTCATTTCTTCTCAGTAAAAAGGGTGTTTCCAGCCATATCATTTTTAATCAAAGCACTCTTGAATCAGACACAATTGTTCACATTGATGGACAGATGGGGATTTGATCCAGACCCAAGAAAACAAAAAAGCAGAAAGGGCAGCGCCTCTCTTATCTTCAGTGAATGAACAAGATTAACCATAACCTGTTCTCTTCTCACCATACAACAAATCCAGTGTGTGCTCCCAGCACAGCCACAGATTCACATCTTGTAATTTTTAATACAAGACATATACAGCCTGAGGGAACAAATTACTCTTCTGTATTCAACATGCTTCAGTGCCTTCAGAGGACTGTGCTTGAGAAATACAGTTACTTGGCTTGGCAGAAAAAGCCTTTGAAAACAAAGGAGAGAGCTCTCTGCGATGAAAGTCAAGTTCATCCCAAAAGCAACAAAAGAAAGCAGTCTGGGAGGTTGGACAGGCTCTGGTGGAAAATTGTCCAGACACGAGTTCACTTTCTAAGTGGCACTGTGCAGCAAATTGGTTTTCTGTGCAATCCCAAAGCATGACTGTCTTTAAAAAACCCCAACCAAAACACAAAAACCACAGTTCAAAATGGGCAAGGCTCTGTATCCCAGTTTTCCTGTTGGGAACCCAGAGCCGAGCTGATGGAATGAGGGAGCCCTTCTCTTCCTTCTCCCCTCTTCCGCCTGTCTTAAAATCTCAGCTCGTCAGGAGAGGCACTGTTTTCTCATGTGAAAGTGCAGGAAGGCTGGGGTCTTAAATGCTACTGAAATAAAAATACCAAAGGGAGATGAAAAGCTTGTGGGTCTCTATAAATAAGCCCGAGTGGGCTCGTTGTCTGATACCCTGGGCAGCTGTGCCACCCCTGTGGGCACTAAATCACAGCACTGCTGCCTCCACACCCACACTGTGACACTCACTCAAGAATCATGAGATTTTAAAAGGTACAGAGTTTGAGAGACCTCATTTGTTTCATTTAGCACGAGTTGGTTTGAGCTTATGAAAGCCATGAAAACTAGAAATCTACTGTCTCATGAACGAACAAACAAACAAAAAAGGAAAAAAATAAAAAACCCCAAAACAAAAACAAACAAATAAAGAAACAAGCAAAATAAAGAGATTTGTCTGTGGCCCAACTTCAAAAACAAAAACCCACAAACAGCAATTTTATTTTTACTGAGCAAGGAAATGGGAGCCTCATTTATATTGAATATTTGGCCAATCACATCAGATGCTCTGTTTGAATTTTTTCCCCAGAGGCTTTTCCACATGAAGATTTCTATAGGACTGCAAATGTCAAATACAGAAAATGTTTCTATTTCTCTGCCTGCAGTACTCCTCACTGACCCATCTACAATACTTCCTTTTTGTAACTGCTCTTCACAAGAACCTTTTTCAAGAAAAATTCAATTACAAAGACTTCAGCTTTTCTGTTTCCAGAACTGTTTTCAAATATGATATAATTCTATTTCCATTCTAAATGGCCCAACTGAAAATATCAAAATATTGCTGCATTATGTTCAGAACATAATTCCAGGTTTTGGCAACTGAATTTTTTTTGTTTTCCACCTCTGCTGGCAGGGCAGGAGGGTTTCCAGTTTACTAACTTTCTCCCTCTCTACAAACAAAAGCCCAACCCAACCAATAGAGCTTGTAACAGGCATGAAAAAAGAAGTAGAAAGGTTAAATAAAAGAAAGAGTGCTATTGCTTTGCCTAGGGGATGCAAATGGTGTTTATCTACCCCCTTTGTCTCCAAAATGTTCATAAGATTTAATTAGAATGCCATTTTCTTTGACACAGCCTTTTTTATTATTGAATTGAGATTTTCTTATGCATTCAAGTCCAACATTCAAGTCCAAATTACAGTCCAATTTTCTCTTTAAAATGTTGCTAGTTCTAGACGCCTCTCTTCTTAAGCAATTCCATGGGTTTGGGAACAATGCAGGTTGTATTTTCCAGTTTACAAGTAATAAAGTGTAACTTCCAGGAAGGAAACTCAGGATAAAGTATCCTGTCATCTCTCTGTACAGTGTCTGGTATATTCATTTGCAGAACAAAGTATGCAAAAATATAGAGAGACGAAATCAAATGTCATTTTAGTGCAGACACAATTGCATAGGTAAAGATAATACTTCGTTGTTAGCTTGTGGATGTGTTACTTTTTCTCTAAGTGCAATGTTTTTTTCAGTCCATTCTGAAAATCTGAATTCACATACAGCCAAAATGTATTGGGTATCTTCATTGTTAATAATGGTCGTAACAACAAAGAAAAGACAGATGCAAGAGTTTACATGTACAGAGCCTACTAACACAGACTCAAAAAAGAAATCTTGCAAAACTGTATATGTGCTCCCTGCAGTGGATTTGATTTTGTCTGGCCTGTAACTAAGGTCCCTTGATACTCCAATTTTATGAGGGTGTGATGTAGTGGTAAATCAGGGCCATACTGATGATCTAAATCAGAATAACCAGCATGTTTTTCATTTCAGAGGGAAAAAAAAAAAGAAAAAAAAAAAAGGTTTGTGAGAGAAAGTTTGCCAGTTTCAGCACTTCCTGGCCGCCAAGAACATTTACTGAAAATCAATGGTCTGTCCAAAACCTAATGTGAGCAGGAGTCGTAGTGCAGCTGTTCAGAATCTATACTGCTTCCTAGGCAAAGTTTCTAAGCCCTTTCAGTCCTTTAGAATAATAAAAATGATTAATGGTCTCAAACACTGTGAACCAAGTGTTTTGAAGTGTAACCTGCTACTTGTAATGCACTCAATATTTCTGATCTGTATTGTACTGGCACATGGCGCCTCTGGAAGTTAATGTTAAAATGGGCAATGTTTGAAATGAATGAAGAGAGGCTCACGAAGCCTGGTGGCAAAATCATTTTCTCCCAAATCAAGATATTATTTCCCATCAGCTCATAAATGCAAAAAGAAAAACAAAAAAGTGACAATAAATATATATATAAATACCTATTAGTTTCTATAAATGTGTTCTAAGAGAGCAATGTGGATACCTCACAATGCAGAAGGAAAATGATCCATCTCATTCATTGCTCTAAAGAGACATCAACTTGTTTTGGAGAAAAACAACTTGGCTTTTCTCACAGACTGCATGCAGCAGAAAGAGGCAAGAAAACTTCATGGAACAACTTCCTCCATCTGGCCCTTCCCTATTCCTGCCCCAGTTGGGCACAGCTCTTGCCACAAGCCAAGCCTTAGGGCCAGTTAGGTCTATGCCATGAGAGTCACATAAATGTTATTTATATACAGAACTCAGCAGGGCCCAGCAAATCGCTGGTGGCCAGAGACAGCCCGTGACTGGAGAGCAGTCACACAGGTCACCATGGGCACTCTGCTGGCCACCAAGCCCATCTCCAGCTGTCCCACACCTGACTGCCAGCTCTGCCTGCCCCAAGGCTGCGGTTGCACAAGAACCTGGACTCCAGCCCAAGCTGTCGCTTGGCGCCCTGGTTATCCTAGCCTGTTTGCTCATGCCCCGCACCAAACTCAAGCAAACAAATAGATTCATTTGGACCACAGCAATTTCCAGGTATTGGCAGCACCCTGGGTGTATCGAGTCCTTCACTGCTCTGAGCAGCCTCACCTGGGCCCCCACATAGCCCCTGCCCATGGCCCAGGAGTTTAGGCTCAGCCCCAGTCCCTGTCCGGGCTAGAGGTGTTTGTGTGTCCACCCAGTGTGTTCTGGATGAACTTTGGTCCTGTGCTGTAGGTGATTTATCTCTGGGCACCTCTCTGCCCCCTCCTGTCCCTACCTGAGTGGGCTCCCTGGACGGATCCTTTGCTCCTCACGTCTGGGCCCCGTTGCTGGCACCCATCGCTGCCCGTGCTGCAGCCACACTTGGCTCCTGGGCCCCTTCCCTCAGGAATATATTGGCATCTGCTGCTCCCTGAAAAACAACATTTAAGTGAACAGTTGTTAGAGGTGGGAAAATATCTACCAAATACAGTGGAACAAGAAAAAGCTTGTCCACTGCATTGGCACTCCATCCTGGCTACCTGTACTCCCCTGACTTCTTGTTGGGTGCAATAGAAGCTTGGGAAAGCATTTTAAGGAACGCTCGGTTAATGTTTACAGAGAGGTAATGTGCCAAGTTCTTTTATAAAACTTTCAACTCTAAATTTACAGGCCTTATATGCAATATTATTTTGGGGACAGCATATTGTATTCATTAGATATTTAAAATGGTATAAACAAGGCGGTAGAAGTACTCAAATTGCTGCAAGCCAGACGGAGATTTTATCATAATACCTCCCACAATTCAGAATAACCTCTTTTTGAAAGTTTCTCTGCTCACAGGCAAGCAGAGGAGTGAATCTCATGGGTCAGTACTGATCTGGGCTGTGTAGGGCAGAGCTGCCTGTCTCCTCTCTGCCAAGGAAGGACATGAAGTGCTGCTCCTCTGCACGAGTGCACAGGAGCAGTAGGGGCATGTAGGCTTAAGCAAAAACTAAGCAAAAATCAGATCATGCAAAGTCACATTTTTGGAGCATAAGGGAACATTTTACTCCAATTATCTTCTTGAGCACAGAAAGAAAAGGAAACATTTTACCAGAGTTAGTTTTTAAAAGAATTATCCTGGGTAAATTGATCTGCAGAGAATTGCCCCCAAACTATAAATCATATTGATTTCCCTGCTTTACACTCCTAAAGGGTGACCAATGAGTTATTGGAAGGATGCATGGAGCTCTTGGCCTCACAGACTGAGGATGGGGCTTATTCCTGCCTGTAATATGGATTAGCAAGATGCAAATGATCTCTGTAATAATAAACAAGAAGGGAATTATTGTATGCATGACCAAAAAATTGAGTATACACTATTAGTGATTTCCCAGCACTGACTGAATAGATCTGATTTTCTTGAATTTCACTGTATTTGCATAAGAATTAGCAAAGAGCACTTAGTCTTTTCATTTGGGGTGGATCTTTACAATTTGTAATCCCAAGCAATATTAAATGTAGTACAAATTGCTCTCTGGAAGTACATCTCCTATGGTACATCCAACTTCTTTCAGCATCTGCCCCTTCATTAGTTTGTTAAACAAATTTAAAAGTCCAGTGACTACTAATGATGGGAAACTGGGAAAATGCTCTTAAGCATCTATTGTATTCTGAGATTGTTTCAAAATACTTAACAGCCATGGTTTAAAGCAATTTTTAAAATATTGTGTTAAATTTCTAATTAAAGTTTTGTGGCAGCCAGATTGGCTTATCTGAGCAAAGCGATTGGCTTGGCAGAATTGACTCATGGTCATTCCACCTGACAGCATTCCCTTTTGTGGGAATGTAACTCTTACTGTGAAAATGTTCTACTAAGCAAACCTTAGTTCCGCTCGTAAATCAGTTCGATGAAAGGTTTGAAAGCCTGTTTCTATGGTGCAGTTAAATTACATTCAAAGTACAACTGAATTTGTCCCTTCTTTTCCATCAAGTATAGTGTGATTTAAAGAAAGGTGCTTTAAAAATAGAGAACAGTTCAGAAAGCCAGATGAGAATTCCTGACTGAAAGTAGATAGAATTTAAGTAAACATTCTCCAAGTTTAGAATAACAGACTGAAGCATTTGTCTTTGATTATCAATTTTAATGTACATAATAATGAGACTCATTCCCACTAGGACAGGCATGCTAAATAAGTTTTGGAGTGCTTGCATTCTGATCCCTAAAATCAAACTCTTCCTTGCAGTCAAAATCCTACATAAAGCTGGAAGAGGAAGGGCTTTTGATTCCAGTGTGAATGAACTTTTAAAATATTCACAGTTCTACAAGATAAATTAAATGAAAGATTTCTGGGAGACTACTTAGCCTCTGTGTACCAGAAATGCTGCTGAGTTGCTGCTGCAGCCGCAGCCAGAGCACTTTGATGCTGTTGCATCAAAAACCAACCAGTGCCTAATTTGGAGCCCACCCAAAATTCAGCTTTTTTTGGCTTACTGAAACACCAGCCGACTTCATAGAGAGAGATACAACTTTATATGGGTCAGAGGCAACTTCAGTGACGGCCCCAAATTATGTTTTGCTTCATGCACACTGCTCTAGTCATAATGAAACAGAGCCAGAAGCTGTAATTCATGAGTAGGTTTGCCAGCTTATGGAATTCATAAGTCTTCCCTGAGGAGGAAGCTGATATCTACAAAATGTTTCACCTGAAGTGTAAAGAAAAAATTTTTAAAAAGCCAAGGACCCATGAGAAAATAAGTGCACAAATCCCTTCCGTTTTCACTCACAGCCACAGGAGCGGACCATGTGTCTTCCTTTTGGATCACCAACACATACTAGTTTCAAAGGGAATGGGCTTTTATTAAAAGATAATATAGGTTTTATTACTCTGGCTTTTGATTCACACATTGATTAGAACTGAAAATTGGTCATTTCTCAGCTCTGCTCTAGTGTAAAAAAATCCCCCCAATCCTGCAATGCCTCTCCAAATGGATCAATGTCAAAATTCTTCCTAGTCATTTTTTTTTTTTTTATTGCTGGCAATTGAAATAACATCAAACCTTAACTTTAAAATATTGCTTTCGCTCAGCATCAGGTATTCAAATCTCTCCTGCAGACCATCATTCCTTCCACCAGCAGAGCCTCGGCATTTCCCATATCCAGATCTGGGTTCACAGCTGCGCGTGGCAAAGTGAGTCAGCAGGAACGATGTATCTGCATATAATGCTCCATGCAGGCATTTTATTATCTCATATTAATATCTCATATTATGTTATTAAAAGAGGTTTTGGAAAAAAGCTCATGAAGAAAAAGACCAAAATGGTCATAATACTTATTTCTCATTTTAATACCTTTCCATGCAAACTTATTGCTTTTCACCTGTGCTCAAAGATGAAATTTGGGTAACTCCTATTGTTAGAGATGCTTTCAGTAAGAGTGGCAGGATCCCAGCCTGAAACAAATCACACCTTTTCTGGCAAAAGATGTTTTATTTGTGAAATTGCATTGTCTGTATAGTAGAAAACATTTTTCTGCTAAAGCATGAGGAAACAGGAAGGATGGAGTAGAGGGATCTACTGTTTCTACAGGAGAAATTCCAAGCAAAATAGTGGGAGAGTATTTTAAAAAAAAAAGGAAAATATTCTGGTTTTTTTCATTTCAATCCAGTAGTGGAAATTGATTAATGAAGCCCGTCTGCAGCCAGTACAAAGGGCCAAATCTTCAGCTAATATTAAATAGCAAGCTTCTACTTTTGAAAACCATAAAGAGGAAAGGGACATAAAACTGAAAAACAAACAGGCATATTTGATCATTTAGTGGTGAATAGATCAGGCACTCCTCAGTTGCTGGGTTTTATTTTTGTGCATTGTGTCAATGATTGGAAACCATATGTTTTAAGACCAGCTTCAATAGTATCAGTAGCTACAGTCCTGCTCTCAGATTACTTTTTACTGCCTGCCTAATTTTGAGCTTTAATAGCTAACATGCACTTTGTTTATCAGTTACAAATGTTCTGAATGTTGATGAATAAACATATTGGCTTATCATCAATACCAAAGACTGAGATAAAATGTGTTTAATGTTGTGGCCTGTGACTTTGCAAACAAGGAGTTCTCAGAAATAAGAAGAATAATCTCAGAATTGATGACTCTGATTCTGAATGGGAAATGTTAGCACTCAGATCCTGACACAGCTCCTGTTATCCACAGAAAAATTCATCCTACACAGAGCAGAGCTTTTTGGCACCAAAAATGCAACCAAGCACAGCACAGTTAAGCCCCCTCAGATGGCACAGTCCCACCCAAAATGCTTTATTGCACTGGGGGTAGTCTTGTGGTATTCAAATTAAATATATTTAGAGTATTTCCAGAATCAGACCCTTGGTATCTTGCAGACCTGAGCACTAATACATGAAATAGGTAATTTTTACATAATCATATTGAGCTGTGCAGTAAAGAAATTTAAAATAGTATCTAGATTTGTGTTATTTATCTTCTAATTACTTGAGGACAGAGTACCTCTCCTGTTTTTAAATTACTGCATAAATTAACAATGTTCTAACAATAACAGCAGCAGCAATTCAGGACATTTACCAGAGAGAAAGCAACCATTAGCCTTGAGAATGAAATTTCACTGGAATCCACAAAATAATGTGTTAGGAAATATTATGGTTGCCAACTTTCGCAATTTTGTTGAAAGTCTTCTAAAATGTGAGGGTTGGGGTGTTTGGGGTTTGTTTTTGTTTTTTTTCCCCACAAAGCCTGAGCTCTGGCATCATGTGAAAACATGAAAATGTGAGATTCTCAGTTTTAATTTTAGAAGACAACTAAGTTACTCAGCATTGTGGTTGCAAAGAGAAATTGAAAACATGAACCCAAGGGCCAGAGAACAATTAGGAAGAGCCCAAAATGCATTACTTTTAAATTCTTACACTTTGGAAAGAGACTTCTGACTTGGGCTGTTTCTATGCTCAGGGTTAACCATATTCAGAACCCCAGTAAATCCTCTGTATCCTTTTTGAGGACTCCTCACCTTGGTTTATGATAGAGGTTGACATCACATCTTAATTGTCAGGGAGGGTGCTGAAGTTCAATACTGGCTCATTTCTTGTTTTTAAAAACAAGTTGTTTGTAGCAATGTAGCTCTCTTCATTTTGACAATGAGGTCAACAGCAGAAACTGGGAATATTTCCTCAAGGGAAATACATTTCCACAGTAAGTAAAATTTGGGATCTAGCTGTTCACCTTCTCCTCAGAGAGGCTGAGTGTGGCTGTCCCACAGTGTGGGACAAACCCTCTGGATCCCAGGGTATGGCAGAAGACAGCTCCCCATGTTCCCTAAGAACAGGGCATTGTCTGGCTGCTCAGGGGTCAAAAGAGGACCATTATCTCTTAAATCTGTGCAGGACACTGGCACCCAGCCCAATGAATAAGAGCATTTCCATTTGGTGACTATGTGGAGATTTCTGGACTGTTTCCATTTAGTCTTTGAGTTTATGAGATGTGGGAATGAGCACAGAGCAATAAGTCAAGCAAACCACCTTCTAAACCTGCCTTGGTTTTTGATTGGAAAAAAAATATAAATTCCACTTGTCTGAGAAACCCCTGGTATTGCAAGGCTGATGACGCCCCAGCTTGATGAAATGAAGACTTATTATCAATCCAGCTACAAGAACTGGCTCCTTGTCTCTCATCTTGCAGCCTGTACCCCATGCAGCTGTCTGACCCATGCACACCAACCCACAGATGGGGCAGAAGCCATATTATTTATTCCCTTGCCTTTCTAAATAGCTTTTAAGATCTATAGGCATTTTCCTGGACACTAACAATGATGGAAATACTTAAAATTCCTAATTGAAAAAAAAAACCCAACCCTTTATCTTCCTCTTTGCCCTCCATTTTCCCACTGCGCCTTTATTACTTTTCTAAATATTGCATTCAATGTTTTTCGTAAATAAGAAGGATATTAGAGTAGACAAATAATGTTTACTCACCAGCTCAAGAAAGGTGTTTCTGGCACTGATTCACAAGTTACTCACAACTCACAAAAATTACTTATACTGAAAGGGACAAGGAGTGTCTTTTTGTGTGCAGGGTGCTGAACAAACAATGAGGTCCTGGTCCCTGCCTGGCTTGCCGTGGCATTACCACAAACAATACTAATTCTTAAATACCTGCCTGACTTTAAGCACTTAGGTAAATAATTGTATTGATTGTTGTAGGCCTATTCACATGCATAAAACTAAGCATATATTCAAATATGTTGTGAAATCAGGGGTTGGAAGAATTTTGCAAGCAAGGCATTTTTAGATATGAATTCACTTGTTAAAACCGGCTTCAAAAGGAGCTAATGTGGCAATCAGGCTTTTGGGCACGGCAGGGGGAGGAAGGAAAAGATTTATTTTCAAGATGGATCCAAGGACTTTCTCGTACTTCAGAGACTCCTCACCAGAACCACAATTACAGGTGAGAAAGGCAGCAAGGAAGTCCCCCCCAGCCAGTGATTACTCAGAGTTTAATGTGAGAGCAGCGTAAACTCAGAACTGCAGATAATCCATGGGGAAATCAGGGGGTTAGTGTCGAGAACTGATGGGGAATAACAACTGAAAGAGCTTTGGTTTTTCTAGGCTGGCGGGAGGTAGCTCATGCTAGGAAGCCTGCCAGCTCCAAACTGATGCTGGGAGCTTTGTCTCCTTTGGATTGTAGGAGCACACTTTGCAGTCAAACTGATCTGAGAGATTTTGATAGTAAAAACAGCTGTCTCGTTGCAATGATGTTTTTGTTCCATTGTCAAAATTTTGAGTTAAATCCATGAGTGGGCTGCAGCTTGTTCAAACCCTGAACTCAACACCCTTTGTGCTCCTTTGGCTTTTCCACTGCGGTTCATGGGATATCTCCTTCCTGAGGAAAGGGCTAGGTGTAATAAAAGCCGTCGGGACAAGGAATTGCAGGTCTCCTCCAATGCCTCCCCAGTGCTGGAGAGACAGAACTGGAGAACTGCAGTCTGTCCCAGACTGGTGAGAAGGGGAAATAAGGAGGAAGAGCAGGGTGTGGAAATGAAACACTCCAATGCTGCCGTGGCCAGGCTGCATCCCCAGCGAGCAGGTATGTCGGTGGAAGGGGGAAACTGGTACCTGAGCGGGGACAAGGCCAGCATGGGCAAGGGGAAGCTGTTCGTGGGATGAAAGCACAAAGGGATTCAGGGAAGGGGCATGGGTGGGATATCCCATCCCCATCTTCCCAGCATAAACCGTCTGAAGGCGTCTCCTGCCCCTCTCTTGGGTGTGCAAAGGAGCAGATGAGGTGCCTGGTTGAGGCATCCAGCACATCAGGCAGGAGCGCAAGGGGCACATGACAGTCTGCCTCTGGTTTTGTTCTGACATGAGAGATGGGGCAGCACCTCTGTACAGCCACAGATCCGTTCTGTGTCGCTCGAGGTGATGGGAACTATGGGCAGGCTTTCGGCCTCTGGGGAGCCAGGAGCTGTGTGATGCTCTGTGAGTGCAGAAGGATGGCTTGTGCGAGTGACGCTGTTTCTGCAGGTCTGCAGGACCCACGGCTCTGTGGCACTGTGCGTGTAAGACAAAACAGATGTCAACAAAAGCCCTTCCTTTTAAACTGGTATTTCAAAATTGTCGCTAGAGATCCGTAACACAAGCACTGTAGTGGAAGTGACTGCTTTCATGGCAACAGAGGCTACAGACAAGGTGGTATTCACACGGTATTCAAGGGTCCAAGTTCTACGGGACGAATTTCCTCCAAGGACTCGCAGCTCGATGAACGCTGATAGCACCAGCATTAACCGTAGCCACGGGCGGGATGGAGCGCGGTCGGCGCGTACCTGCCGCCGGTGAGAGCGCTGCCCGGCTCCGCGCTCCCTGCGGCCCGAGCAGCTCCGTGACAGTAGCGGGGGGCTGCGGG